TGTCCCACAGTAAGTTATGTGGTTAAATTATGGTACATGTATATGTAATGGAATATTTTTAGATCTTACAAATAATTATACATATATATATAAAATATGAGTTACTAGTGTTGCAGGTCATGCTTACTGTTATGTCTTTTAAAAAATCACTTTCTTCAGATTTTAAAGCTTAGTGTCTTCTAATACATAGTGGATTCTATGCTTTATGCTCTCCAACAGACTGTTCATAAAGATATTAAGCTTCATTTCTTAATCTAGAGATATACCCATGTATTCCTTCCTTGTTTACAGACTTATAGATATGGAAGAGGACTAATTTCAATACATCATGACCTCTTTCAAGTTGCAAATAAGCCAAAATCAGCCTGGATGAGGTAGCTTGATCCAAGTAAGTATCATACCTGGGGAAGCACCCCAAAGGGGAAGATGCTACTGGGGCTTATCTTCTGTTTATCAGTAAATTTGGATCAAGACCCAAATCTAATTGACCATGATACTATTTTTTAGTACAATTTCCAAAAAAAAAGCATGTTCTTAATGTCTTAATAGCTGAATGGGAAAAAAATTGCCTAAGATATTACTTTGTGAATATGTTACTGGCATATTGATATTTTTTTAAACATAAAACAAGACTTTGTCTAAAAGTTCTGCCTGTGGTACCATTAGTATAGCTTTAGTTATGGGTATTTCTGATGGGGACAGAAGTCTAAAATTGAAACAGTCACCAACTTTGTCTATCATGTCCTTTACCTCAAAAAATACTTAGTTATTTTCAGTAGGAAGGGAACTTCATTCCTCTTCATTACTCTCATCCATACCTTCTTTTTGTAGCAAATTCCTTAGTGAGGGAATTGCCCCTATAATGTTCTCTTTCTCTCACCCTTTTCTGACACTCTTAGGCACCAGCTGAATGCCCAATTCAAGTCTGTTTGCTGGATACAGGAGTTCAAGCCTACATCAGGAGGCTTGGGCTGAAATGGGTTGTCTGGCCTGGAGACTGGCATGATTCTGCCACAATTGACAGTACCATTTAAAGTGGTTGTTTCACAGAATTTCAACAAAGAGCAGTAACTGTGAGGGTTGTCACCCATTCATGAAAAGAGAAGGGAGAGAGTTTAGAAGGTGTAAAGGGATCTCAATGGTAGTCTCATCATGAAGGAGAAAGCTAGGTTTATCTTATTGAACCACTAATCGTGTTTCTTTAACTATGATAGTATTTTATCTTGGGAAAGAGGATGAACTGATATGAAATATAGGCTATTGCTCAATTAGCATTACCCAGACAGTGAAATCCTAAATCAGTAGAGACAAGGTACTGATTTGGGGAGAGGGGGTTGGCGCAGGCAGAATGCCAACAAATAGCCAGTAGCTCATGTTAAGGTTTCCAACACGAAAACTACAACCACTCTTCCTTGGGAGTATTGCCCTTTGGGCAAAGACAAAACATAAGGGTGCTGAGTGGACTAAATGACACAGAGAGTGACCTCAGGGACATGTCATGCATCCACATTTAAATTTTCCACTGTTCACCCCTCCGCCCATCTCCAGCCATTCTCTACCTTTCCCAACACATGCCAATAGCAGATCAGAAAATGTGCCTATATTAATTCAATTCGCAAGTGTTTTCCAGACTTTCTTTCATTTTCTGGGTTAATGTCATCACAGACGAGGCCACTGCAAATATTAATAGCAGTGCTCAGATTCCACACAAGAGCAAGCAGCCAGTGCAAACTCACTCACCCATGGTGCTCTTCCTTTTTTCGTCTGAGTCTTCAGCACGGTTAGGCACCAGGGGGCTTGGTGGCGGAGGCTGTGGTGGAGGGGGAGCTGGTGCCCGCCTCTTCTTTTTCTGTAAATCAATCTGTGACCCCAGTGACATCTAGAAAGCAGAAGGAAGAACAAGCAGTTAGTGTGTGGGTAACTCTGTGGGGAGTGGTGAGCATGTGGGACACAGATCTGACAGGTTTGCTCAGTACGATTTGGTATGTAGGAAGGGATCAAGTTGCCAGTTCCCTTTCTAGGAACCCAGGTATAAAGTAACCCAGGCTTGGGGTGCCGGCAGTAGTATCAGGACTTCTTGTATGGCCCAGAAGTGGCTAGTGATGCTCATAGATACCAACAGAACCACTATGAGCATAAGGGCTCTGCCCCATATTTTTTAGGAATTCCAGACAAATCAAGAGACTCAGAAACTAGCATAAATATGAGAAAGGGGTCCTAAGCACTTAATTAAATGCAAAAAAGAACTACGCTTCCTGAAAGCTTTATGAAGATCTGTGATGATTTGTAGCCACATAGAGGTACAGAAGCAGAAGGGCACAGCTTTTCCTTGCCCTTGGACCTGGAATCACAGTGAAGTTTGCCAGATGTGGGGTCAGCTTGTAGCTCCCAACCAGCTCAGAAATCCAGTTCTTACTCAAAGATACATCCAGAAGACACCATGACAATGTCGGGCAGATCTAATTATTAAAAATAAAATCAGTTTATTTTGGAATCATGGTACCCATTGATTCTAGTTTTTTGTCTCTGAAAGACTGTATAATTCTCTCTGCCTCTCTTACATTTTCATCTGCTCACTCTCACTGATGAAAATTCTTTAAGGATCACTGCATTATGTGCAGTTTACTAATAATAACACAAATGAGACTAAGCTAGGTTTCTGCTCTGAGGAAGCTTACAGCTCAGCCAGTACCTCCAGTTCAGTAGTCTCTGTGGGATGGCAGGTGCATCCTGAGAGAGGGGGTCTCTCCACATACCTCGCTAGGGAACTCTAGTTCTCCTTTGAGCATTTCTTGGTTTATTAGCTCAGACTCACAATGCTTGTGTCAGAAGGGAAGGCATGCCTCACCTCCCAAGAAAGGCAAATTTCTCCTGTGGTGGTGGGGGGGGGACCTGGGGTTGTAGTGTTTATATATGTGCATGTGTGCACAAAAATCTTTTTGTTATCATTTAACACATTTAATGTCAAAAAAATAAAAGTCTCAAAAGTAAAAGGAAGACACTAAAATTTAGTTTAATAGTTGGCACGTTTTTTCTGCTTATTCTTTCTTCTAAAAATCACCTTATTTATATCTTTCTGTTACAATATTCTACAACCATTTCCTATCCCTTTAGGATTCTGTATTTTATATAGAACATGGACAGAAAAATCAAATTGTTCTACAAAGTCTAGAGTCAAACAGCAGTTCTTACCCAATGCCCCACACTGTCAGCAACCACTGCAAATGCAGTTTCATCTGGCCTTTGCTCTATTTTTTTTTTTTTTGGATAATAAGCCTATTCTATCATTTTATTTTACCACATTAGATACTGGATCTAACTCCAGAAGACTTAGTTCTTTCAGACACATGTAAGCATAGACACACTTACACATACTGTTATAATATTGTTGTACATATTGTTATCAAAGATATTATAATCATGTCAAACAGTAATTTTCTTCAAGAGTTTTTTCCAGGTGAGATGTTTGATATGTAAGTCGACCACATTTTCTTTCCAAGTCACTTGAATGCTATGCCAATAAAAATTTCACAGGTGTTATTCAAAGAAATAGAGCAAATGTTGATGAAATTCATATGGAACCTCAAATAGCTAAAAAAAAAACCTCAACAAAGCTCTCCTGACAAAAAAGGAGAATAAAGGTATCACACTCCCAGACCTCAAAATATACTATGGAGCCATAATATTGGGACAAAAACAGACACACAGGCCCAGAAATAAACCCACATCTTTAACAAAGGAGTAAAGAGTATTATGCAGTGACACAAGGACAGTCTGTTCAATAAATGGTGCTGGGAAAATCAGAATGCTACAGGCAAAAGAATAAAGCTAGACTACTACCTCAAATCATGCACAAAAATCAACTTACAATGAATAAAAGAACTACACCTAAGACCTGAAACCATAAAACACATAGAAGAAAACAGGCAAAATGCTACATGCCATACAACTTAGTAACATCTCTAAAGACTCATCCTCCAAAGAAAAGAAAGTGAAGGAAAAGATAAACTGCTGGATTACATCAAACTAAAAAGCTCTGTACAGTAAGAGAAATTAACCAAAACAAAGAGACAACTTATATAATACTACTGATAAGGGGCTAATTGCAAAGATACACAAAGAGCTCGCATGACTCAACCAAAAAAAATAAGCAGTCAAGTCAAAAAAGGGCAGAAGAACTAAAAAGGCACTTCTCCAAAGAGGAAATGCAAATGGCCAACAGGTATATGAAAAGATGTTCAACATCACTTGTAAACAGGGAAATGATACCCAACTTATTGTCTAACCTGGAAATTCCTGTCTTACTCATATTTTTTATTTTTTTTCTTTGAATCCCGTGTTTTTGTTTAAAATCTACATTTTTGCTTTAGTTAGGCATGGCATCTATGAAATTGCTAAGAAAAGACGTGTATGAGGTAAATTTTTGAGGATTTTAAAACGTTAAGTGTGTTTTCAATCTTTTCCACTGAGTGGTGCTTGTGAAAACTCACACTGGAAAGAGTCACCTCTCACAGTGCCACTCACATCTCCACATCACTGGTCTTTGTAACCTACCCTGGATTCCTGCTGTAATGTTTTAGTTTTATTCCTTTCTGACTTTTTCTACCCACCCCCAACATCACCCCTCCGCCCCTCCCATTTGCTCTTTTCTCTCTGGACTCAATTAGGTGAACACTCAATTTTCTAGCTATTAAAAAATATATTTTTGCCTAATTTAAAAATGTTTCTCTCTTGAAAAAGGAACTCTCCTGTACTGCTGGTGGGAATGCAAACTAGTACAACCACTATGGAAAACTGTCTGGAGGTTCCTCAAACTGCTAAACATGGAGCTTCCCTACGACCCAGCAATCCCACTCCTAGGTATCTATCCAAAAGACACAAAAAC